GCATAAAGGTACATGAAAAAAAGGAAGTACAAATGCGGGGAAATGGTGAGGGGGCTAAGGGAACCTGCTGGGCGCCGGCCCCAGGGGTCGGCGGATCAGTCATAAATTCATGCAATTTCCGGAGTCAATACTCTCTCAGCAAGCCCTAGCCAAAACAGACAAATGTTCCAAGCTTCAGCGCACCACGGGCGCACCTCAGCATCTTTTTGGCCTATGTCTTGAACTGCGTGAATCTCAGCGTAGACAGCCTAGAAGCGCTGCCAGACGGCCAGCGGAAATGCCTGTGAATGATGTGGAAACCAAGGTGAAGCGTTTGTGGGAGCGCAGCGCGTTCTTGTCCCAGCGAAATATTGACGTGCCCAAGCATGAGCTGATGCTAGAAGGCCTGCAGCCCATTCTAGAACACTGGGTGGCAGAACTTAGCCAAATTGCTGCGCATGCGGAGACGCTGACGAGCATGCTGAAGAGGCGCGTCGGAGGTTTCCAAGAACTCTGAGCCTGAATTGAACCAGCTTTAACCTCCCTTGTGCAAGTCCCGCGGCTGTGACGACTGTGCACCCCTCCGACGCCCCGTCAAGCCTACGGATTGAAGACTGTTTGGGAGGCAAGATCCAGATTACAGGGAGCATGCAGCAGCCGACGTCAAGCAGCTTCGTCAGGGTCTCAGTGCAGGGCCTCAGGGCTCTCCCAATGCTTTTTTTTTTACTCAGCTTTTTATAGTTTGCTTTTTGTCTCTGCGCAGTTTCTCAGGCAGCAGTCTGGGCAGGGCGCATGGTACAGTGGAAAACCGGTTGCAGGACAGACATACCGCGACTGTGGATGCTTTACAGTTCATTCGCCGCGTCATGTCACTAGTTGAGCCCTCGGCAGATGAAGTGGTGGAAGAGTCTGCTAGACTGAGGCAGGTCCAAGATTTGCTGGAAGCTTGCGTTGAACATGTGCTGATGAGTTGGCTGAGCACAGAGTCAGCCTTCCGACGTCCGCTAGTTCAAGAGCTACGGGATAAGTGGGACTTCGTCTCAGCCCATCCGCCCATCGCTGCCTCTGTCACCTGGCCAAGGAAGCCTCCGGGACCTCAGATCTACGTCGCATCCTGGAATCTTTCACACGAGGATCACATCAGCGACCAGGGCTGGCTGCAGGAGTCCATTCTGGAAAACACGCTCCAAAAAGTACTCGAAGTCCTTTGCCATGAGACGCATCCAAAAGCTATCCTCTGTCTTCAAGGTTGTCAACCTGAGCTCCTGCAAAAGCTTGACAAGAAGTTTGAAGAGCCCGATGAGAAGAATCACGGAAAGCCCCGACGAAAGTTCAGATTAGCTCGCCGGCGCACCGACTTTGAGGCAGGGTAGGAAACAATAAGCCAGAAGGCAAAACCTGGACATTTGAGCAACGCATAGCAATGCAACGGCAGGCCATCATCTACGACCAGGAAATGGTCGTAGAGGTTAACAGGCCCGCTGAAGAGGCGATCTTAGAGTTTTCTGCAGCGCATGATACTCCTTATTCTCGTCAGGTTGGAAGATGGGCTTGGTTAAAAACCCCGTTGTAGAAATTCCAGAATGGGCGGCCCTATTTTGCAGATTCACTGTAAAACGGTCAGGAATAAAAAGCTACGATAAGGTTGTACATTTTCAGGGTTTTTTTGCCACCCACCCTTGGAACCGACCAGACTCAAAAAGTTAAAATGCACTAAACTAGCAATAAATGGGCCTGCTGGAGATGTCCAGCCTGCTCCGAGTGCGCTCAGCAAACCCCCATAGCTCAATTACGCAGATCCCCCCCCTCAACCACCCTAGAGCCCTGAAATGGCCTAAAAATGAGGATTCCCGTTCCTGCAGTAAAATTCCTGAGCCTCCGAGCCTCTAGAAAAGGAGCAAATGCGTTGGGACTTTTGAGCAAAGGAGAGGGTCAGTTTTTCGAGTGAGGTGGCGGCGGGGGTGAATCCACTCCATGATTAGCATATGGACTAAGGAGCATCCGCAGTAAAACGACAAGGAATAAAGATAGAAAAAACGTTTCAAATGGATACTAGAGGCCATGATAGGGTTCCCACACACGCCCAGATGTTGGGAGCAAGGGTCAAGGATGAAATTGTTCAGGCGCAGCAGACCTCGGAGTCTCAGGAGCAGAAGATGGAGGCCGGGAAGCTCTTGGCACAGAGGTCTGAAAATTGGGGCCGCAGAATATCCTTACTTGCTAGATTTAGTCTTGGGAGTCAGGCCTTTGTGGGCCTTTGAGCTGTATTTTGGAATCAGATCTCGAAATCAAACTTCCAGTTCACAGGTTTCTGCATTGTAACAGCTGCTTGCAAGCAATTTTGAATGCGAGTTCCCTCAACCCTGTGATGCATACTCAGGGTTCTGACAACGTTGGACAGACTTTTTTTCCAATTGCGTGGGGCCGTAGCAAAGCACACGCAACACTTTGGGATCTTTTCTGCGCAGCTGTTCACAACCACACCATTCACACCTGAGTAGTATTTTATTTGGGGATACTACGGTACCCAATAGGCTCAAGTCGTAGCTTCGCTTTCCCGTAGCTTGAGCCGCTTGCGCTAGCTGTAGTATCGCCTTCCTCGCCTCTAGTAGAAGCGCAATGGTTAAAGAGAGCTGCAATCGTCTCTACACACTTGCATGTCTAGTGCTGTGGGTGTTCCCACAGCTTCTAGTCTTGCACCAGCAGCTGTGCTCCATCCCGGAGCCCGTAATTGCCAATGTTTCTTTGCATGCCTGTACCATCAGAATTCCTCTTACTGCCCAGCATGCTTGCACTGTAGGGGATACAGAGAACCTGCAGTCTACCGCCTTGATCCAGCAAGATGTGTATTGGCACACATCTTTCTGCAAATGCATTCTCGCAGAGAATGAGACAACTCACATGTCATACTGTTCGAATGCGCATGCCTCTGAATGCACCATTCCGCCTGTATTACGCTCTGTGACACCGTGCTTCAGCTGTGGATGCTGATGATGTGTTGTGCTTTCATTGCCCTAGACGATGCAATGATGTTGATGATGATGATGATGATGATTGTCAAGCTTGCCCTCACCTACAAGCCTGGTAGGAAGCCCCGGCAGTTTCTGAGAAAGCTTCGAACTTCTGTAGTTTGCAACCCCCTCTTCAGATTTTTCTGGGCACTTTTCCTGCTTGCGTTCAATGTGGTTGCAATGCAACAGGGGATCCCCTTTTCGTGAATCTTTCCGCCTCCCTTGGAGGAGCCTAAGCCTCCTAAGCCCTTAACTAAAGCAGTGCGCACTTGCGGTTTTTACTTTAATATGGAGTCTACTTGAAAAGTTCTGACCCTGAGCAAGTTGTCAGGTCTTATTCTACGATAGGAGATGGCAATTGTTTCTGGAGAGCGCTGGCCCATAATCGTTCGGTTAAGTGTTACTCACTAAAACGCCGAATCCTTGATTTGGCTAGTCGGTCCCCGGTAATTAGTGATGCCAAATGTAGGGAGATTCGCAAACTCAGAAAGAAAAATGTTGGGCAAACTTCGTGGCAATCAAGTTCGCTGCTCGATTCATGGAATGCAATCTTGCCATCTGGCCTAAAGTCATAAAGGAGGAATTGGTTACTTTCCCACTGCTAGTCAGGGAGCACCAACAGTATTCCTTGCTCTTTGTAATCAGCATTTCGAAGCCCTTCCTGCCAGGATTGGTATCAAGTTACTTGCCTCTTGTGATCCACTAAGCCACATTCCCATTGAAGCACTCAGGTTTTGCCATGGCCAACACTATGTCGAAAGCAAAACCATTCCTCAACGCAGCCTCAAATGCAGCAGGAAAGGTTTCTATGAAGGACTCGCTAGTAGGCTCACCCCACCAACATGCAAAGCATGCCCGGATCACCGGTGCTGTCTCGTGCAGGGGTTTTCGATCTGGGAAGGGCATACCCCAGGGTGATCTGCTCTCAATGCTGGTAGCTGCTGCGGCATCAAGGCAATGGGCCGACAGGATCCCCCAACAGTCAAGACTCAATCATGTTTTCGTCGATGACAGACCTCTTCTGCATGATGCTCCTGATGAATTTTGTGAAGTTTGTAATTTCACCCAAATTTGGGACAGCGAACACAAGCTTAACACCAAACCCAAAACCCTGGCTTTTGGAACTAATCCACCGCGTCAAAACGTTGAGTGGCTTGATGGAGAGCTTGTCAAAAGAGCCGAGGGCAATCTAGTTTATCTTGGGGCCCCGTTACCATTCCTTGCCGTTAAAGGGGAATAATTTTTTGCACCTATTATTTCGAAACTCTGCGTGGCCTTGAATAAAGCTGTCAAGGTCGCTCCCTCTCTTGCGTATGCAGCGATGGTCGCTAGACCAACGCAGAAGCAGTTCTTCATGTTGCGTGATGCCATTTACAAGGCCTGCGCCGACAGGCGCTTTGCCATTCACGATGCACAAGCGTTGTTTCTGCACCGCGCGCATTTTCACGATCCAGAAGCGGCTATGGTTTATGCTTCCCTTTCTGGCTGGCATAGAGCTTTGCGCACCCCAGTGTTTGTGCAGTGGCTTCCTCAAAATTGGCAGACCCCTTCCCGACGCAAAGCCAAAGGTTAAGGCTCCTTAATCTACTCTCTTATGATCTTGAATGGCTTTAGTGCGATTTTGATCTTGAAAATTTGGGCTTGTTTTCCAGGAAAGATGGCACCACAATCCTTCTTAATGAGCCTAACAAACTTGGATTTCAGCACTTTCTGAGAGAGCAAATTCGCAATGTCTTTGCAGATCGACTGCAGCAAAAACATGCAAGATGGGACGGCGTGCAACATGCTGACATCTCTGCCACCACTGCCGCTGCCTTGTTTGGCAACATGCATCCACAGGCATATGGCAGAACCGCTCTTATGCGAGTCTTATCCAATGCGCATGTTACCCACACCTCTTGCATAAGCAGGACATTGTGCCCACCCCTGCGTGTAACTTTTGTGGCTGCAAAGATGCAGATGTAATACACATCGCTTACCATTGTCCTAGGTTCCAGTTCATCCGAGACGAGTGGTCTCCAATCACGCGCATGTGGCCTTTCTGGCCCGCATGCAAGCAGCATTGTCTAGTTGCCACGGGCACTCGTTGCCACGGCCACTCTTCCCGCACATGCCAGGAAGAATTGGCCAACCGTGCAGCAAGATATTGCGCCTCTTTGAGACCTGGATCGCAGTTGAAAGATATGCTCCACTGGTACAGCTGCTTGTCACCTTCCCTTCCAGGGCAAATTGGAGTGACCTGGAATGGAAGCCGCCCAATTCAACTTGGGCTCTGCGCAAATGTGGTGCAACACATCGAGATTATTGCATCCTCTTCTCATTTTGAACAAGTGGAAACTGCAATCTTTCCCAGGGGCCACGACATGTCATATCTGGACTGTTGCATTCCTTACATTTATGCAGAAAGGAGGCAAATGGTTCTTTCGTACATAGGTGTCCCAATTTAGGTACCATTACTTGGAAGTTTTGAAATCTGTCTATCGCTATGCTTCAGGAAGCATGGCCTAATAATCCGGATTTTGACTTTCATAACTTTGAGCGAAATGACGAAATGCGCTGGTGCCCCCGCATGCCTCCTGCCACACCCTTTCCTGCTGGCATGCAGACCACCTTCCGATGGGACATGAGAGACACTTGTGTGCGAATGTTGGAACTGCAAACCCAGATTGCCATTAGGAAAACCATGCAATACAAGCACCATCTTTTTGGATATTCCGCAATTTACTGCCCTGTTCTCTACGCCCACTGTTACTACCCGCTTGGTCCCCTATGGGTTGGTAGGTGCAGAAGAAAAACCAGACACTTGAGATGGGATACATCTGCGCTGGAAATTGTTCACAGCATTGCCGTGAGATCCGTCACTGCCAAATCACTCGCGTTTTGGCTTGATCTTGATGCGCTTGATATCAACGCATATATCTCGCCCTCCAAGTTGGCCAAAAGACAATTTGTGTGCCAGCAAACATCTTGAAGCATCAGAGATTGCCAACCTACCACATCTTGTTGACGCCAATCTGCGCATTCTGTTCTACCCAGCTCAACTTTGTTCAAGGCCCCGTCGTCATGTAAACGCGCAACATCAGCGTCCTCGCCCGAGCCCACATTTACTGGCCCTCGCAGTATTTCGCGCATTTTCGAAGGCTTGGAAGTGCGCGAAGTGCTGATGCCGTCAGCACTTCTACGTTTTGGCAAAGTGCAGAAATTTGTTTTCGTCAGGGAGCCTGCTTTCGCTGACCCTGACAGTGTATCGAGCACTTCTGCAGCTTACAACTTTCACGAAATACTGCTAGGGCCAGTAAGTTTGCTCGTGTTCCAAAAGCATCACGCTGACCTGAGCATCCATGCCCAAACCATAATTCCGTTCGTGTTTTGATGAGTGCGCTGACCAGAGCATCCATGCCCAAACCAGTCGGAGTTTAGCAGATCCAAGCATCAGATGCGAAGGCAGCCTCTGTTGGGCCGCAGCGATCCTGCAACTGTCCATATGAATGCTTTAGCCAGCATCAGACTTTTGGAGCATCCAGGACTCTTGCCGCTCATGCAAGCCTTCAGGCTGTACAGAGAAGCCAGGCGGCACGAGCTTGCTCACTCTCCTTCCAAGTTGGATCCTGTTAAAGACAGATCCTGGCTTTTCCGCTTACATCCTCCAAGACACGAACGAAGCGCCTCCAGCTCCAAAACATTTCAGTTCGACCTTCGTGCATTTGGTTTCCATACATGTTTGCATTCACTGAAGCTCTGTCTTGACATGCCCGAAAAGCTGTGAGCCAGGCTTTGGGCCTGCTTCTGTATCAAAACATGCTTTACTTGAAAACACCGTCAAGACCGCCTCCCAGCCGAAAACGGGATTTTTGCAGTTTTCTACGTGAAATCCGGCTGCATGTATGCCTTGTTTGTGCGCGTGTGCGCATGCACGAAATGCCACGTATACCATGCTTTTCGGCCTCTGCTGCAATGCGTGCGCTTTCTCTGCGCGCGNNNTTTACGCGGCGACGGAGCGTTGTTCAAGTTCCATATAAAATCCACCATTCATGCCCGCAAGCAACCCTTTGTCTAAAGAGGCGCTTCAGGGCAGACTACAATTATGTCAGGAGGTCCTTGTCAACCTTCACGCAATTATTGCCCGCTTGTAACTTACTCTAGCTAAGATTACTTATTGGAGGAGCCAAAGCCTTCAGCGCCTGATTCACCTGACCGACCGACTGATGTCCGTGAATAATACTATGGTACCCAATATAGGGTCAATTTATATCCTCCTTTTGAGGTATAACATTTTATATAAAGAATATAATCCTACCAGGTTCAACCACAAAAAACGCTACTCACTCGTTTAGGGCATCTCCAGCCATCATCTAAGTCTAAGTCTGAACTGCAGCTACGTGAGAGCCAGGCGGAGACTTTGGCACACTTCCAGCTCTGTGACCGTCCGTCAGTACAACTGCAAGTCATCAGCGCGCAGCTCGTCTTAGGAAGCAAAGTTTTGTATATGCTACAATGCGAAAATGTTATGACACGTGTAAGGCACCTCTATGATGGTGCGCCCCTGGATGAATTGAGAGAGCTTTGCGGCCACTTGAAAAAGGATATGGGAAGCTGCGACGTTCCCACGCTCCTTCTGGCTGACCTGAGTTTCCCGGAGAAGGCCGAGGGCAACAACGCATGACTCAAGATGTTTCAACTCCACAGCATGTTGAGAAACTATAAGAAGAATCCAGATGGCAGGCAGTGGAAGCGCAACTGAAGTGGGAGCACAACATCCAGCATATCCATTTTGCACCGATTCCCTACCCCACGAACATCTGCAAGGCAATGGCGTGTGACTAAATGCGAGCCGTTGAACTCTGATGCATCATCGGCAAAGCATATAATTGCAAGGGCTCGCTGCTCCCGAAGAGAACCGGCTGCATCGTGTCGCTGGTTCCAACATCGCTCATCAAGGCTGGCCCGCTGATGCTCACTGATCACAGCTCGTAACTGCCAGAACGGTTGTCTGCTAAGAGCGTTTTTTGACAGTCGTGCAAGTAGCTGCTGTTATCATGGCAGGTCTTAGTCATAGTAATCGAGCTACTGCAATGGGGTAACAATCAACTGACACTTGATTTGGTTTTACTGGTGCGCAGTCTGGCCTTTTTGGTCTGTAGGGTTCTGGATTCGAGGTTGAGGCACTTGAAGCTGACAACGTCCTTACCGGCCTCGAACCACACGTACACCTGCTCCGCCATAGGCCTTGGACTGTTGCAGCTGGCTGTATCTGTGAGTGCTGTGAGCGCATGTGAGTGCTAGGAGTTCGGTGACAGATGGTGAAACTCATTTGAGCATGCACTACGTGAAGTCTGCCTAGAAACAGGGCATGGCAGCATGACCGCATGATTTTAAAAAAAAACACTGTCAGCTGGCGAAGCTAACGTGCCTTGGTGCATGTCGTAGCTGAAGCCGGCCCTTTCCAGTAGACGTGAGCGTGTTTTTGCAGATGACATGCCAGTTGCTTCAATCTGGTGGAAAATGGGCTGGTCTCCCAGCTTTTGCCGCTGATGCTTAGGAGCCTTTGAAGGTCAGCTTTAACTTTCATATAGGAGTTTGCACTGCCCAAGCTCCGCAAGACACCGTGAACCGATAGGTGTAAACACTGAAAGCCTGGGTCCTGCAGACTTTCTTCTAAGGCGGAATGAGGATGACGTGGAGTCCCCAGGCGGGACCCTTTGAGAGACTGATTCTTGTTGCATGTGAGGGGTCACAGACAACATAGCAGAACCTCTTTGCCTCTATGCAGAAGAGCGACCGGGCACAACTATGCCGCATTTTGACATAAGACCATGCAAGCACGAACACTTTGACAAGAAGACTGTGTCATGTGGCACACAGCTATGATGCAGACATGCCTTGTCCTTTGCGCGACTGTTGGTCCATTGGCGTCAGTACAGGAGCGGGCCAATTTGTACAGAATCTTGTCCTCTTGGTTAAGCATGCTTCGAGCTTAACTGCGCATTCATTGGTTTCTGCGCGGATACCTTGACATAGCAAGGTCATGTGCGGAATGTATTGCGGATTGCAGTGCACATATATTGAATGTGCGTAGTAGGACGGCGGACCGCATTCCGTGGCTTAGTGTGTATCCTTGCCCTCCTACCGCTTTAAGTTGCGGCCTTTGCTGGCGTTTGCCTTCGCTCTGGCACACGTTGCGGCGTCGTGGGCTCCATCTTCGGCGACTTCTTCCGCTGGCTAAGCTCCAAACGCCCGCTAACCCCGGAGCATCCGGCACCAAGCTTCCACCGTGGGTTACGCAAGCTGGCGGTGCATGTGGCCCATTCCCTTAGACGCGAACAGCATGTAATGGCTTGTTGTAAGGTTTTGTGTGGGCGCTGACCAGGCGACCTCGGTGAGCGGTAGCTTCTACATAGTCGTGAAGTTTAAGCTTTTAGCTTGAGGCAGATCACTGGCCAGACAGAATACAGGCTTGCCTGTCTCGGACATGACGTGCGGGCATGAAGCACTTCTCGGAGAATGAGTGCTGGACGCACACGGGCGACCAGCCGCAAGCACCACATGCAAGGGCGTCATGGCACACATCAGTGCTCGCTGCAGTTGCACGCCTGAGCCAGTGGCTACACATGTACACGCGTGTGTACATCCACGGCGACAACTTCCACGGCTTGAAACCTTTGCCAGCTCGTGGCAACCCCCGTCTGCCAATGCGGCATGGCAAGCCGCGCTCGACCAGATGGGTGCGATGCCAATGTGGGTATGCTCGTGGACTTCTGGGTTGTCACCCCAAACAGGCGTGGACACCGGACCGTGCTAAAGAGACAGGGTCAACAAGTTCTGAGCAGGCGCCCGTGCAATCTTCGCAGAAATGGAGTCAGAAAGAATTGATGCTCCGGACTGTGTAGGTCCACTTCAAAGAGCGGCAGCGGTGCATGGGACTTGTTGCTCTCATAAAGTCATGGGAGGAGGATGGGTAGCGATGCCCAGGCTGCCGGGAGGTTGTGCCGGTCCGTACGCCACGCATTCTGCAGATGACAATGGTGAACGAAGCCGCGAACAGCGCACAAATTCCGGCAAAGACGGGAGTCTAGCATTCAGTCCGGCCACTGCGAGACCCGAGGGCCACCTCATTTACGTTAGAGAGTTGTGAGAGCAGACACTAGGCGCGTTGTTTGTTTGCATGTCGGTCCAGCGTTCCCCGGAAACGACCTCGGGTGTCACGCGTTGAACGCGGTGCGCCATACTTTTCTTTGCCAGAGGAGCCAAGTACATATCCCAGCACGGCGAACGAGGTTATGTGATTTTGTCAACATAAGCTCCAAGAGCAAGTATAAGTATAAGGCAACGGAGATGAGGGCCCAAGGATTCAACATGCGCTGAGGCCTAGCCGCAAATAAGAGTCGCTGCTCACCCGTGCATTTGGTGTGTTTCCCGTGCTGGGTTGATCCGCTGCACACTTTGTATTGTTGAGGCCAAGGGCATGAGTGACCTTCGGACACGCTGAAACTCCACCACGAGTCCCAAGCGTTGTCCACAACTTTCAGGTGCCCAGCTCTTTACAGCTGTTGCCATCTGTGCGGAGTGGACTCGTGCCCGCTGCGCCATCACTCCCTGTCACACCTGACAGGTCAGGCAATCCCGACAATCAAACGATGTAACTGGCGAGCCCGCTTATCCAGTTGAACACAGAAATCCCTCACAAATGCGTGGTAGACACAGTTCGGCCTGCTCTGCAATGACCCACTAGTTTTGTGGGGGTCGCTTAGGACCTAGGACAGGGGCACCGCTGCCACTTAGGCAACTGGCACGGCAGCGAACTTGATTGAATCCCAAATTCTCACATGTGCGCGCGCATTAGGTGTGTGCGTTCTTGAGAAGGGTGGTATCAAGAAAAAGCCTGCATACCTACCGCAACCCAGTAAAGGAACAACGGAATGCTCCGCTTGTGATGGACTTGCCAGGTTGGGATGAAACAGAGCCCTCCTGGCATGAGTTGCAACTAAGAGTTGCGGGAAGCAGACCTGGTTCTGCATTGCTGAAGCACGAAGAATAGAAGAAGCGGCATTGTTCAGTGCGTACAAGGATGTTATGTAGCGTGTCACATGTTTGTTCAGGTGTTCTTTGGCAAGATTGCGGGAGGTCCCCATAGAGTTGCACGATATCATAGGCTTGAAGTTGGTACTTGTAGGAATCTAATGTAATTATTAAACTGCTTTCAAAAATTGGACCGCTGCGTTGGTCGGGTGATGTGGGCTTCTCAACTCTCGCATTCAAAAGCGCGTGTCTAGAATCAGGGATTCGGTGTCAATTAATGTCAGCATTTGATGTGGACTGTCGTTTTGCCATCATATCCTTTTGAGCTGTGCATACAGAGTGTTTTCGTGTCGGCATGGCCGCTCTTTCTCAGGCCGACAACGCCGGCATCAAGGGCCTGGGTCTCGGTTGTGCAAAAGGCGTGTTCTTCGCAGCCTCGCTAAGTTTACGCTTTGCTTCAAGGGTAGTGAGCAGCCTGAGGTGAAAAGGCAAGGAAGTTCCACGGTGTGTGCAGTTTTGAGACACGTAATGACCAGTGCCTGAAAGAGATTGCAATCCCGAAGCCATGGAGTCATCGAATCATCCAATTAGAATCCTGCATAATCCTGCCTAGATTAAGGTACAATGCCTGTCCACTTATGGATTGCCAAGCCAAGGGTGTTGGCTCCAACGGCGATTCAAGTTCCCATCTAGCTCCAAACATCTGCAATCAAATCCGAAGTTGCGTGAATTCAGGCGAGTTCCCGAAGAGTCGTTGGCCTCAGCAGTTCTAGTGTTGAGGTACATATGCACGTTGACGGATGCCTGGGAGAACGGGTGCGTGTGCTGGCTTTCCAGGATAGGGCTACACCCGCCTTGCACTTTCGTTCCTTTCGTTTCCTTTCGCTTTCTTTCGCTCCTTTTGTTCTTGCTTCCGGATGTCTTGCTTGCACTGTAGATTTTGGCGCACTTGCGTCTGTATGCAAGGGGCCGAGGCAGAAGCTCCAGCTGGATCCTCATCCCCAAAGCTCAGGATCTCATGAAGCATCTGAGGGAGGTGTCCAAGAAGCACAATCAGTGTGACAAGGAGGTTGGACTCTCCGCATTGCTGCTGATTCAGAACTGGCTAACATGCAGCCCTGCATGCTGCCCGTCCAACTTTAGGACAGCGCAGCACAATTGCAGATGCTAGTTAGAATACATCCAATTTCAGCTTCCTACATGTGTTCACAGCTGTGTCATTCCCCTGGGGTTTTTCATGAAGCACTCCAGAAGATCGCCCTTTTCACTGTGGTGTGCCAAACGCCGGCCAGAGCTACAAGAACATACCGACAACAGCTTGATCCTTTTGTTGTGTTCTATTGACATTCTCTGTCCTTATCCGCTATGCCTATCTTTCCGTTGATGTGGCGGATGGCACATGCTGTATGCTAGGATGCTGAGCGCGTTGCTGATGTGAGAGAGTGCCCTGACCTGCTCAGCGCGGATGTTGGAGGGTTGCGAAATCTGCTATGTTTTATGATTTTGGTGAGTGTTCTTTGGCTTCTGATCTAGACACTACATTCGCGCAGCATTCCATCCCAAAGGGGCTCAACTACTGAACCACAGAACCCAACCCTAAAGTTTAAACCCGCCCCCCATCTTTCGACCTACAGCGAAGGAGCCTCCTTTGCTCTAGAAACTTCAGTGCCTTGAGGAGATTGTTAGTCGATCTCGAAATCCTGAGTTGCCAGTACAAGACCCCAACAGCGGGCTTCAATTCAGTGAATGCTTTGATATTTCAAAAAAGGCAAGGCCTTTCAAGTAATGCT